TTCCAATAATTTTTAATTATTATTTCTAGTACCCACAATACTTGGCTTTTGCGTGCTTGGTGAGAGTCAACCTTATTCAGGCATTTTACAGCATCGAATGCTTTGCTTCAGTGACTGATTGAGGAAAACTTGGTTAAAAAAAAAAATTAGAGGAAGATCCACAGGGAATGAAACCAGGATCAAATCAGAAATGCTACAAAAATCTGCAGAAAAAGCTGGGTCAAATAGCCTCTTAATACAGCTTTGAGTCCATCTGGTTGTTTCTATGAGTAAAGACAGGCTGATGTAGCTGACTTAAAATATTCTAATGCACATGCTTTAAAGTTTTAGTTGGGGCACAACCTCATCTCACATGCCAAACTGCTCAAGTGTGTCAGTTTAGCATGGCAATCAAAGTCCAAAAAGAGTATAGCAGCTCTGCTGATATACAATCAGAAAAAAGTATGCAACATTCACAAGGTTGGAAACAAAATCATCTTGCAGGGTGATTTTAGTGACTTTCACTTCTTTAGAGGATCATCATTCTGTTTCTTAAAAAAAAAGGAAAACCCAAAAGAGGCAATTTATTAACAATTAATTGTAATAAAATCTCCAGTTTCAGCTTTGGCTTTTCTCCCCCCACTCTACCCCAGCCAATAGAATTGAAACTGCAGTGTCCCTATAAACAGGGAGGTTAAAACAGCCATAAAATGATTTACTATGACATCAGTATTGTTCAATCTGGAAATATGAAAAACACATCAACTTGATTTTGCAAGGACTAATTAAATTAATCATTGAAGTTGTCTAAAGCATGTGGAGCAGTGCAGAAACATGCAACCTCAGGTAAACATTTCCATTACAATCTGTGACAGGTCAGTTTCATGGGTGACTGAACTGCAATTTCTCTAATAGGATTATTCCTTGCATTTGATTCCATTGTGTGAAATTCTGTAACATTTGGTCAGAGGATAATTACAGCAAAAAGTACAGGCTAGACCAGAGACAAAATTACATTTGACAATCCTATTCTGAACGAGGTCCCCAGAGTTATAAATTACATTATTTTGTACAACTGAAAACAATTACTAAAAAGGTATCAGGATGAATTTTGAAAAACAACACTTCCCAAAGTATTTTTTCTCTATGACTCTACTTTAACATTTCAATTGACGTGATATCTTGGTGCCAACAAAAACAGCAGTAAAACAGTATAATGTAAATAGTATGTACTGAATAATACTATACGTTCAAATATAATAGATCATACAAAAAGAAATTTTTCCATAATTTTGTTCAAACAAAATATTGTCATCATCAGTTGATTATCCTACCAGAGTTGCTCCAGCTCATGGACCTTGGCCAGGAAACATCAGAAGCACAGGTTGAGGGTCTTGAAGTGGCTGACATTGGAGCTCAGATTCTGTAGCAGTGGGCTTGCACAGGACACAGCTCAGCACCTGAGGCATCATGGCCAAATTCAAGGTTAGGACCAGATCTTGGAAAGTAAATGGGAGTGCTTCTGAACAGACAAAGAGCATAAGTGACAGTTACTGATCTAAGAGTTCGTCTTCCTCAGGGGCTGCAGCCTACAGCAATGCAGAAGCCCAAGGAGCAGCAGGTCCTGCCCTTCTCATTTTCTCTTTCCAGGTGATGAGCTCCTGCATATGGCCACTTCAAAGTTGTCAGTAACTGTTGCATACAAGTGTTCTTTACAGGTCAGAAGCACCCCACATTTCTTGAATTTCGCCCACACATCAGTGGCAACTCTGTAGCCCTGGCATTGTAGAACAACCTGGAGTCAACATGAGCCACCTCAAGATCAAATAATGTAGTCACCCATCCATTAAGTTACAAAATATTTTAAGAGCAGGTTTTCATATATGTATTGATCTATAATATGCAAACTTTAATACATGTACTGAATGTTATTACACTGATTTATTACTGATTTTTGTTAGCAAAAATTGTATTAGTTTTCAAAGTACTAAAATGGAATCATTAAAAAGTGGCTTAGGAAGCAGTGGTTTACTTTCTTTTTAGTTGAAATTCAGTGTTTTCTTTCTCCCAAGTGTAGCAACATAATTCGGAAGCTCCTGATTAATACTTGGTCAAAGTGATTTACCCTGGAAAAGTAATTTCTTCTGTTAGATACCTCAGTCTTTGATGAATGAGATAAAAGTGCTGCAGTACCACTTGTACAATGGAGGGGGAAGAATGTTGGTTGATGGTCTCATTTCTCTACAGAAGTTCAACAACTTACTGGAGGGAAAATTTGAAATTGTAGACAAAAAATGTTACACAACCAATAGTTAACATTTCCCCTTAAAATATACTGTGAGGCCGAGAAAGGGGTGACTGACTGCAATGCACTGAGTAAACTACAGCAAAGGACAAAAAAGGTTAGTTAAAATATACCCTCTGTTTGGTTAGAAACAAATTCCTGAAAGACACAGACACAGTTAATCTTTCCCAGTGGGATTCAATGTCTAAACAAAAGCTGAAAGAACTGGGGATGCTGGAAATCAGAAACAAAAACAGAAATTGCTGGAAAAGCTCAGGAGGTCTGGCAGCATCTATGGAGAGAAAGCAGAGTTAATGTTTTGGGCCCAGGGACCCTTGCTCAGAATGCTGAGGTTAATTTGGATTCAAATGCTTACATTTTTGTTTAAGACAAACCACTTACAAAAGCAAATAAAAAGTAACCTATATCTTTGGATAACACCTGCAAGCATTAGCAAAAATTACCAGGAAAATAGCTGATAATTTGAGTTGTAGTAGTATCAATTGACTTGAATGACTGAATTGCTTCTTTATTAAAAGGCATCACAAAACACCAATTACTATTTGACAATCAGTGTTGGAATGAAAAATATCTAATTTGATCCTCAATGTAATTTTAATCTAACACAACAAGCAGGAATCCTGCTATTACATGCAGTCTAATAGTATCCTCAACAGACTTGGAGTAACGTGTGAAATTCAACAGGTCTAAAACGAGAGTTTGCCCCGATCGTGTCAGTTTCCTAGGATATTAAAGTTAAAAATTTCCCTTGTGTCAAAAAGTCCTTTTTTTAAATTTTATAAAAAATATTTTGCCCCCCAAACTGGATTGTCTGACATTATTCCCAGGCTACCACACACATTTCATTGGGCAGTAGGGGCTACCAAGATGCAATTCTACCCTTTAATTTTCTCTCCTTAATTCAAATGCCATAACCCCGGAGTACCCCCAAGGTCAAAAGGTTCATATTCAAGAAAGGTAGTCAAGTAGGACTGGCCATCTGAAGACTGACTTCACAGTAAAGGAGAAAGATTCAACTGTAAAACTTCAACAGCAAAGCAATGTACCACCCCTTTTATTTCTGCAGTATTTGAAGATTTAAAATAATTTTTTTTCGGGATTTATGCTGTTTAAAATCAATTATTTAGAGTTAATGCAATAAAATTTGAATCTTTAGTCATTATCTTCAACATTTCACACAAGGGAAACAGGTATGAAGCACTGCCACCCTCTCCTACCAATTGATCAAAACAAGTTGATTGATACATTTCAAATCAGAAGTACACTACATTCAGATGGCAAATTTTGGATTAAAAGTCTCTAGCATTTCAAAAATGGCTCAGAAGCTAGTTGCAGAAAACCATCAGACCCTTGTAATTCAAGTTTAGATCCAACCACTTTAGATATACAAAAACAAATGGTGATAGATTTTCAACTTCACTTGGTGGTAACCTGGAGAAAGGTGTACCAACTTAGCTTTAGAAAAGTTAATAATCAAGCTGAACATTTAGTATTCAACCTAGCAAACTCTTTGCATTGAGAAAGATTATATAAATTCAAGTTCAAAAATATTAGGATGATTAGTTTCTCCTGATCTAGGATTCATGGACCATGAAAGAGAGCATACCCAGTTGTTTTATGAACAGGCAAACAAGAAAGTCTGTGCATGTCCTAATTTCCTCAGATATCAGAAGACCAGGTGTTGCTGGATCTGACAGCCATGTTACCAGATCTGACAAGGATCTGCCTTGAAGCTGTAGCAATGCTACAAAGCCAATTAAATAATAATGTTCAAACAGGGACTAGGGAGTGGCTATGTCTAGGCATGCTGTTAAATATTACAGCACATATGAAGCTGCATGTGCAAGTTTTTTCTAGCTCCATCAAGGAATAAACTGCATGGCAAAAAGGCAAATTTCATACTGTATTGGTTAAGTAAACTGAAGATATTACTGGCTAGCAGCTAACAGGGAACTTTGATTCAAATATCAATTTAACAAAGTGAATACCAACATGTTAATTTAGACATACAGTACCATTTGTCAAGGTCAGATTAGGACATTAGCTAAAGTCCAAACAAGCTAACTTAAGCTCTTAAAAATCATGCTTAGCATTTCAAACAAACAATAAAACTAATTGAAAATTTGCAGGCATTTTGGACTTATAGCAGCATATGGCTCTCATCTGCCTAAACAATTGATGTTCTTGTGCTTTCTTGACCTTTGAACGTTTGAAGTGTCATTTCATGCTTCTTCTATGCAACAGCTTCAAGTAATTATTTTAGGAGCAAAAGAAAAAACAACTGTGGAAAATGCTCAACAGGTGAGGCAGCATCTATGGGAAAAGACAAAAATCAGTATTTCAGTCACTGATCTACCATTTTAACAGATGTGGAGATAGCTTGTAGGCCAGGCAACTAGTAGCTCCAGTAGAGATAGGCAGTCTCTTCCTTCCATTTCCATACCCATATTACACACCCACTAAACCTACTTTTGCCCTTAATTCCACTAGTTACCTTTAGCTTAGACTCTTAAATGGAATCCTAATAAATATAATCTGGCAATCCAAAAAAATACATTTAGAGAGACACTACGGTCTACAACAATAGTTACGCAAAAAAAAATTCAATTAGATTTGTTATACATGGCTATTCTTTTCAAAGGTACATTGCCTCTTTAATCAGCTCAAGTTTCTTGATTTTCTCCTTAATTATAGATAAAAGCCATAAATGGTCAACAACATTCCTGAGTTTCCCTCAAATCTGTAATTCTGAAATCTTTGAGAGAATGAGTTACATTTACAAAGGGATAACGACACATTCAAAAGTACTTAGAAGTCTACAATCAGAACATCTGCAATGTTCTCATCTACTTCCTTTAAAACACTGGAGGTAGAAGCTCTCAAGTCCTGGGGATGTGTCACCATTTTTTCTACTATATAGTTCTCCAGCTTATTTTGAAAACTTTAGTGAGTTTCAATACTGCATTTATTAATTTTCTGGAATGTCAGATACATTATCAACTTCTTCTAGAGTGAAGATTGATTGTAAACATTCAATAAGTCTTCAGCTTCTTTGTTATTTGCAAATAATATTGCTTTTTCTCTAAACAGCCTACCCTTTAATATACTTTTTCTTTTAGTAGAATTATAAAATTGTGTTAAATTTTGATATCCCTCCAGTTTCTTCTGGTTTTAAAAAAGATTCAAGGGCCACAGCAGTGATTTTTAAAAAATTCTTTATTTGGGGGTTTAAATCCATGCCAGACTAACTCAAATAATTTCAAAGGGTTGAGACAGCATGGATCTTGGTGCAGAATAAAAAGATCATACAATTTCACATTCAAATCTATAATTCTTACAAAACTTCAGGATGCCAGATCTGGGAGAAGAGCATACCATTGTTGGCATAGTCACAGGATTATCATACAAGTTTTGATATATAGTAGCGCAAACATTGTCCATACGGTGGTACTGAAGGTGATCTTAAAAAAGCTTACTGCAACATGGTGCTGTCAAAAGAAGGATTTTGCAACACTGGCACTTGGACAGTCCTATTTGGTAATCTAAGAAGAAAAAGTGTTCTTGGATTTTTTTTTTTTTTTTTTAAAAAAGGATTAGTTGACAAACCTACCCATCCTCCTTGCTGGATGATATAATCAGCATCCGTCTCCTCTATGTACTTCACTCCAAGTTTCACTAGCTCCTTTAGTGGCTGCTGGTGGTGACTGGCTAGCAGCTGCTGCAACAACACTAAAGAGATCAGAACCTATAAAATAAATAATAAAAAAAACCTATAGTTCACAGCAGGGATAAACTACGCAGTTCACATAACTTCCCACTTTGAGAATGAGAAAGATACTTATTCTTAACATACATATGCAAAACAATGCTTGATAAAAGATAAACAAGTGTAATACAGACAATGCTGGTTTTACTGTGTCTGGAGTCTCAACACAGCTCACAGCATACTACAACAAAATTAATTACTTCCCTCCTACCCCTCAAGTGTAATTAATTATAATGCAGTTTACCTGCACAGAAATCAGGAGCAGGAGCCATTCAGCCTCTCCAGCCTGTTCTGCCATTCAATAAGATCATGTCAGATCTTATTAACCTCAAAACCACATTCCTGCTTAAAATATTTGAGGACAATCTGTTCCAAACAAAAAAAAAGGTGGTGGATGCAGCGTTCCAAAGACAATTTCTTTGCTTCATCTTGGTTTTAAATGGGCTTTCTTCGATTTTAAAAACAAGTATCTCTAATTCTACATTCTTCCATAAAAGGGGAAATAACTTCTCTACATCTACCCTGTCAAGGCCCTTCTGGATTTTATATATTTCAATCAAGTTGCTTATTACTCTAAAATCCAGCAGATACAAAGTCTAGTCCATCTAAACTTTCTTCATAAGAACACCTGCCCATTCCAGGTATTCATAATAATAAATCTTCTTTGAGCTGTCTCCAATGCAGTTACATCCTTCCTTAAATAATGTGACCAAATCCTGGGCACAGCACCCCAGACACGGTCACACCAACGTGCCATATAAATCAAGCATAAATCTGTTGACTTGTAGATTCATACTTTTATTTCCAATTATGGTGTGTTTATCATAATCTATCAGCAGCTTTATCTTTGGTCTTGACTCTACTTTTTGATGAACCACATATTCCCAACTTTGATTTTTGTCCACACTATTCAGTTTAAAATCTTCTACTTTTCCAGTTATGCAGTTCACAAGAACACCAGCCCCACCATGATTCAGGTGGACAATATCTTATCTATACAGGTTCTATTGTCCCCATTGCTGGTGCCAATGCCCCATAAACCAGACCCACTTCTCCCTTGCCAGTCTTTGAGCCACACATTAATCTCTTATCCCATTTGCATTATGACAACTTGCACATGACTTGTGTAATAATGCAGAGATTAATTACCTTGAGGTTCTGCTTAATTTGGCCTTGAACTCACATTGACTATGCAGAACTTCCTTTATCCTGCTTATGTCACTGGTGCCTACATGGATCACACTGACTAAATCTCCCTTCTCCCAAATTCTTCACCAGCCCTGAGAGGTCATCAAACCTGGCACCTGGCTGTCTGGACTCATGATTTTTGCTGCAAAGGGTGTCAATTTCTCTCTCTATACGACCTCCTTACGACCCATTCTTTCTCCTTCAGAGTGGCTTTCTATAGTGCAGTCAGTTAGTTCATCCATCCTGCAGCCCTGATTGTCATCCAGACAAGCTGAAAGAATCTTTAATGTACAAAAGTTGCTGGACAAACTGAGCAGGTCTGGCAGCATCCATGAAGGAAAACACAGTTAGCATTTTGGGTCCGGTGACGCTTCCTCACTGGACCCGAAACGTTAAGTCTGTTTTCCTTCACAGATGCGGCCAGATCCACTCAGTTTTTCCAGCATCTTTTTGTTTCTGATTTACAGCATCTGCAGTTCTTTCGGTTTTTATTTAGAATCTTCAATATGTTGGACAATCACAAAAACAGACTCTTGCATTCCTGCTTACTGGATACCCTTGCCTCCCTCACTTGCAGTTCCATTAAGGGAGCAGCAGACAATAAATGGTCTTTAAAATTTCCTGATCCTTAATTTGAAGATTTACCTTCAACTTTGAGTCAACCAATAATAATATCATTAAGACCTGGAAATGCATTTTCTTTTCTTCATGGATTGTTTGCGTGCTTTAGAAGACTAAAGCTCAACTGCAAATGAGTCACAAGGTATTTGGAGAATAGAAAAGAAAGATCAAAGTCACCAAAATTGTTTTCCACCCTCCAATACAAAATGTGATATGCAAGCCTCCAGCATTAATTTCCTGCATCAAACTTTTGGTATGGTTTCAATCAAATTCACGCAACTGGTCCACATTATAGCACGGCTAAAAAGTCAGCTCTGATCTCCAACTATGTACAGTGTGATTCCGTTACTTGCGCCATACTCATTTCTCACATGTAGTTGTCTGCTGAGTAAAACCCAAGGTAGTCATTTTATAAAAATTGCAACTGATGATAATACTGGACAAGTTAGATCATAATGGTTCCTTAATGAAAGTTTAAAAAGAGTTCTTACATACAAGGACAATTTAAAAAGTTTTAACAATCAGCAAAGCAGGTTCAACCCTTTGCTCACCTTTCTAAAAAAAAATACACAGTCACAGTGAAGCTCCTATTTTAACATCATCTTTCCCAGTACTTTTTCTGTCTCATTGGAGCTGTCAGCCGTTTTAGCAGTCAACAAGCTGAACTCTCAGTTGGGAGACTTCTACAAACTCAAAATACCTGTCCTTCTGCCAGGATGACTTTTGTTCTGAACTCAACCACTAGTGACAACTGAATTATTTTTCTGCATTTTTCAAACAAATTCAACTTTGTAAAAATTTCACAATTAACTAACTATCTTAGTAGCTGGTCAAGTCATTGCTTTATTGGAAATGCAGTCCACTGCTCAAAATACCTTTCTGATCTTAGTTTTAAAAAAAAATGTTACCTTCACAGAACTGAAGACTAAAAATTTATTTTTCTTCCACTTTTGAATCCAACAAACACTATAAACCTACACCACACTATTTTTACAGTTCCAGAAACTATGCATACTAGTATTGATCAAAATCCATTTTACTCTTATAGCAATCAACATTTCCATTGTCAAGGAACCCGCATCAGTTTACAGACAAACCATAAAGAGATTCACAGTAACTCTGACTCATACCATTTTGTAATATTTTCATGTTTCATTTATATATCCTAAGTTGGTATTGCTGGGAATAGTACAGTACTGTTGCCTACTAGAGCAGCTAGCAATACAGGAGAAATTCTGAATGACTACAGAATTGTAAAGCACATTTCCAGCACTTTATATATTCTTTACCTGTCCCATGAAACTGGGAAAAGTTGATTGGATAATGTCACCCCACCCTTATCTACTTCATTCAAGTGCTTCAATTTACATAGTCTGTAACTTGCAAATCCCCAAAGTATTGACACTAGAACTAATGCTCTGCTTCATGTTAGTTCATTATGAGGAAATTGTGCTTACCTTATTCCACCCACTGGTGTGGCTGGCAACACGATTTGCTTGTTCTTTGTATACTTCATATTCAAGTGGCCTGTAGAATTATAAGAGTAATACCAAGCTTGAACACCATATAAATTGTCACAACACTTCAAGTGAAATATCCATAACAAAAAGGGGAAAGAGGGGAGAATAAACTGAAGTGAAAAGGTTTGAATTGCAATGAAGCGTGTCCACAGAACAACGTTCAACTGGATCATGCAAGTCTATTCTGAAAACAAATAAACAACAGCATTTAGTGCTGACTAGTGCTTCTAAACCTCATTATGCCTCTTAAAATTCATCTCATCAAACCTTCAGTCATTCCTCTCCAAAATAATTCTAAATGTAATATTTTTCTACTTAAAAAAATTGCTTAAAGAAATGTAAAATATCCAATTCATTCTATTGTACAGATTGCCTTCTCACCACCTCAGGATGGAGGCAAATTTTTTTTGTTAAATTTAGCTTCATAGATTTGACCACTCAAATCACAGTGTCACAAATAAAATTTGATGGAAAAAAGTGTTGTCAAAATCATCATTATCAAACCCAAGATTAAAAAAATCAGCCAACACTGAAAAGTAGGAATTTTAATATAGGACACATAGGACAATTTAGAAGTTCCACTCCTTGGCAGGCAGCCACTGAACCAGCAGTTAGAATAAACGCTTGGGTGTTGATGATCTGTATGAATCAATTACTGTTTGGATATATTGGGCAAGACTTCAAAAACAGGGAGAGATATAATACAGCATTCATAAAAACATCACATGAAAAAAACAAATATCACCTCAAATATACGTAAAGGCATGTTAAAAGAATCACACTAACTGACAAATAGAAATAATTATTTGGGGTGGGGAGATCTGTACTTGATACAGTTTTGCCTGTGAGCGAGAGGTACGCTGTCAGGAGAAAACAAGAACTGTGTACAAGGAACTTTATTTTATACCCAAATAGTAGATTCCTATTGCTTGAGAATTATGTTAACTTTCTGTGCTTTGAGCCACCAGTGATGACATTCATACGATACTTTGCCAAATGCAGTTTATCTGGATTTTCAAAAGGCCTTCGAAAAGGTACCCATAGTACATAAATGAATAAAGATTAGAGAACATGAAGCCATGCTACAAGTGACAGAATGAATTGTAATTTATATTCAAGCTAGAAAGCAGCATGGCAGTATAGGATGGTTACTTTGTGTTAGAAAGTTAGGAAGTGGTGTTGGAACCACTTGTTTCCAATTTACATTGGACATTGGAATCACAGATTTGTGCAGGGCACAATCAACAGAGATGGATGGCAAATAATTTCATGCAGAATGAGCAAATAATAGGCAAATTAAGTAGAAAACAGACAAGTGTAAGGTAACAAGTTCTGAAAGAATAGGGAGGTCAGGTAGAATTGAAGGTGCAAGGAGGCAAGGTATAGTAACAAAGGGATGAATACAAATACAAAGTTGCAAAACAGGTTATTACGGCCAGGAAAGCAAAGCACACCAAGCAGTACGCTTTATTTTAGAAGTACAAAGTCAAAAGTAGCAAAGGTATGCCAAAACTGGTTCACACCACTCGAGAACCGTGTGCAGTTCTAGTCACCATAATATATAAATAAAAAGGCAGAGAGGGAGGAGAAGTTTACAGTGATCATACAATTGTGTGGGTGTACATAAAATAGTGACATGATGGATCTCTTCCTGACAGGTGAGATTTTGATAGGAAGCATTTTCTCTGTATTCACTATTATGGGAAAATACATAAACAGAGACAGAGACAATCAATATTTGGCAATTACCAAAAAAATCCATTAAGGAATTCAGAAGGAACTTCTTTACCAAGTATGGCAAGACAATGGAATTCACTACCACAAAGAGTGGCTGAAATGAACAGCAGATGTATTCAAATGGAGACTAGACAAGCGTATGAGGGAGAAGAGACTAGATGCACATGATGGGAAATCTAAAGTAAATTCAGAAACACAGCAGGTTGTCCAAGTGGAGCATGAACACCTCCAATAACTGGTTAGGGCAACTGGCCAGTTTCCATGCCACATATCCCATGTATTCTGCAAGTGTACATGTGGAACCTGACATTTCATCTACATGTTACCTCTTGGCAATGAAATCAATCTTTTGTGGGCTTCAGAGAGAGGTTTGGGAGTGGACAGGGTAGCTATCACAGATAACACTGGATGGAACAGGATAGCTAAGAATCAGGTGAGGGCAGTCCGCCCTTCAAATGCTGAAGGAGAAAGGTTGAAGCAGAAGTTGTCAATTGCATCAATCCTGAAGCCATTGGAAGTGGATGGTACAGATTTATGACTGGTAGATGAGGAAAAAATCTTTTTCAACATGAACGGATAATGGAAAGTTTTGATTTTAGCTTTCCAAAAAAGTATTGGAAAAATACTCTGAACGAGAACAATTACAAGAATAAGGAAGGTGAGAGTATGGGACTAACATAGCTAATGTGGACTCTGAGCCAAATAGCATATTTCTGTGCTGTACTAGTTTATGATTTTATGTTGATAAAGGTACTTTGTGTAATTGCTTGATGTTACACATTCATAATTGCCAATATTGGGGGCTTACTGCATGCAAAATTAAATGCTTGCAAGCATATTATATGGGAGGAATGGAGTTGCAACAGAGAAACCATTTGCTTTTTCCAATCTTAGTCATGCCATTTCAGCAAAGTGGCAAGTACAGACCAGTTGAGAAAGAACTCAAAGTGGCACCAACTAAGCTCTGAGAGGATTTCATGGCCATAATTGGTTCAAAGAAACCAGAGTATTAAATGAACATTGAACAGCATCGCAAAGGAACAGGACCTTCAGCCCACCATTTCTGTGCTGACCATGATGCCATTTTAAACTAATCCCATAGTGCTGGATACCCTTGAGGGGAACGAGTGTTTAACAGTATGCTTGAGGCCTTGACTGCCAGTGCACACCACGGGGGTTGCAGTAAATTGGGTCCAACATTTTAATTTGAACTGTAAGCCTACTTTAAGGAATATGATTTTTGCAGCCTCTTTCAAGGGCAGTTTGTTACTTGCTAAGTTGTGTTTTGATTATTAGGTTTTCAGAATATTAAAAGTCATGATTTTTTTGGCTCAGTGACTGGCTTAATCTTGACATTGAGGTTTCAAATGTGGAACTGTTGAGAGAATGGCAGAATCAGACAGGTCTCCGCCAGATACCATCTTCCACTGAGCCTGTCCCACATTAACAAAATCATGGTCACACAGGTCTCAAAGGGGGCTGATACAGATATGAAGTTGGTGAATTAAAAACAAAAGTAGAAAGGCAACTTATACAGCAACATCATATAGCTTCACATGTAGCAAACTAAACTGCAGCAGGATGCCAAAGAAGGGCCAAGTCAGCAGAATTAGTGTTCACACCACTGATGTTGACATATTATGGGACAAGTGTGAGGTGACGCATTCTGGAAGGTCAATTTGGTGGAAATTATAGAGCGAATGGCAGAACACTTAGGAATATTGATATGCAGAGAGATCTGGGTGTATGGGTCCACAGACCATTGAAGGTGGCAGTGCAGGTAGATAAAAAGGTAGGAAAAAAGGCCATGCTTGCCTATATTGGAAGGGGCATTGAGTAGAAGGATAGACAAGTTCATATTGCAGCTTTATAGAACTTTAGTTCGGCCACACTTGGAAAATTGTGTATGGTTCTGGTTACCACACTTCCAAAAGGATGTGGATGCTTTGGAAAGGGTACAGAAAAGGTTTACTGGGATGTTGCTTGGTATGGGGGATTTTAGCTATGAAGAAAGGTTGAATAGACTGGGTTTGTTTTCACTGGAACACAGGAGTTTGAGGGGCAACCTGACAGAAGTTTAAAAGATTATGAATGGCATGGATAAAGTGGAAAGTACGAGGCTTTTTCCCCACAGGTGGAGGGGCCAATTACTAGAGACATAGGTTCAAGGTGCAAGGCACATTTTTCACACAAAGGATGGTGTGTGCCTGGAATGCACTGGCAGAGGTGGTGGTGGAAGCGGACACAATAGCAGCGTTCAGGAAGCACCTGGATGAATACATGAATAAGAAGGGAAGAGAGGAAATAGGATCCTGTAAGTGAAGGCAGTTTTCATATGGAAGGGCAAAATGTATCAGCACAGGCTTGGAGGGCCAAAGGGCCTGTTCCTGTGTTGTATTCTTCTTTGTTCTCTTATAGATTGCTCACTTATCTACCATGCTGAGAAATCAAAAAGAAACGTGGCTGTTGTGGCATCTGGAATGTTATTCTGGGCTTTCCATTTAGTAAGAATTTAACCAATATTACAGTCAGCAACTACATAGCTCACTTGCTCAGAATATTTTGTTGTGCTGTCTGCAGTTGCACAGCAAACTCCCGGAATACTTTTTCTCCAAGTTGAGCCAGGCAGTCTTCTATTGAAATTTCTGGATTTGCTGGACTAAATACTGGAGATGTGTGGCAGTCAAATCCTGTACTGCTAAAGGCTAAAATGAAAAAGATGAGAAAAAAAAGAGAAAACAAAAAAGGTTTAGAACAAAATTTATTTAACCAAATAGAACTCCTATTCTAAGAACTGGAATCATAAATATGGTGTTAAGTTCACTACAGTGCAATAAAAGCAAAGTACTACGGGTGCTGAAGATCTGAAATAAAAATAGTGCTGAAGAAACACAGCAGGAATGTTAGCAGTGAAAAAAGGTAGTGTTAACGTTAAGTCCAAGGACTCTTCTTTGGATTTACTACACCACAACGGTACAGCACATTCCCAACTGCTACGGTACCATATTCCTTCAATTGGTATTTTGTACTATTAAGCTCTGCAAATTGATCCCCAACTTTAAGGTTAAGCAAATAAAATAACAATCTGCATTAAATACAGACTTGGTACTTTGCTGGACAAAAATTTCATCAAGTCAACATTACACAAAACCGAATGCAAAACAGAATTATTAAAAACAGGTATTCCCTTTCTACTGATCTGACCCCAGCCTTTTAGTGCTCTACTCCATCCATTGCAAAAATGCATATTTAATTCTGCTCCGTAAAAGCTTCTCTAGAAATGCATATACATTCTACAGAGTTAAGCACAGGAAATAATTCTAAAAACAGGAAGGAATACAGAATGTGGATCACCACAATACTCCAGATTATATTTAAAATTTGGATTTTTAAAAACTCAACCAAGGTTCAATTGCTATTTTGTAATAACAGTATCAATATTATGAGGAGATGCTGGTACAGTAGCAGTGTCATTAGAGTAACAATACAATCCCAGGCCAATGTTCTGGGGACATAGATTTGATTTGTATTTTAGCAGATGGTGAAATTTGAATTTAATAAAAATCTGGAATAGAAAGCTGGTCTAATGGCAACCACATAACTGCTGTCGATTGTTATCAAACCCATCTGTTTTACTAAAGTCCTTCAGGCAAGGAAGTATTCCACCTTTACCTGGTCTGGCGTACATGCAACCACAGGCCCATAGCAAAATAGTTGACTTGCAACTGCCCTCTGGACAATTAGGAACAGACAATAAATGCTGGTCTAGCCAGTGATGCCACATCCCATGTACACACCAAGCATGTAACAAGAATCAATCATAAGAATTTAGAGAGAGTATCATTTTCTATACAAGTAATTTTAAACAAAACATTCAAGTAATTACCAATTATTGATAGGTAGGCTTACTTTTTGTCCCCAGCAGGCATACTCCACATCTCCCTCTCCCCCCGCAGTCGCATCCTCCCCCCCACCCCACCCCACCCACTTGGGGAAATGGCTTCCAAATGTGCCAACAACAGATTTCCAATTAAAAACTGTTAACTCAGGAAAAGCTTCACAGTCTGATTTAAGACACTGAACAGGCTCCCAAAAGGTGGTTGGAGTCATGGATGAAACAGTAACAACCTCCCAGCGGCAGGCTGGAGACATCAGCAGTTCACACTACAAAGTATGCCAGTATAGAACCAATGGCTGCAGGCCATCTTCTATGAATATTTTGTTCCACATACCAACCTTCAGCCGAGACCCTCATTTTGAAGTATCCTAAAAATTTCCTATCCAAAGCAATAGTGTCCCCCTTTACCCAAGCAGCAGTTAGCTGTCAAAACCATTGGTCCTCCCACTGCAGGCTACTCGCCACCTTAACCAGACAGGTCAGGCCATTTTTTCCCATAATTGATCCTTCCTCAAATCTTCAGGGTTTTCCCACAGCTGGGTTCCTGACCCAATCTTCAGGATTGGGACCAAGGAAGCTAAAATTCAGCACAACTTTAAAAAATAAACAAATTATTTGATATAAATTAAAATGCAATTTCACAATAAAAACATTTAAAAATTCAAATTTGATACACAATGCTTCATTCCAAACATCTACACTGTCAGAAGTGACCTCTACAGAAACAAATAAAATTCAAAATTTTGCAATACAGTTGAACAAATCAGACTGCTATTGCAAAAGTAATTCTTTTCATAAACCACAAGCATAAATAGATTGATGTGAAAAAAAAACCTGCACGTGAGCTTTTCATTATGTCCACTAGTGGCCACCTAGAAGTACTCTTTGTTCTATTACCAGTAGAATATAAAAGTATTGCAGGATAACAAAGTACTGAAGAACATCACAACATGCTCAGACATCCCTACAATGTTAGTGGATGACAAAGTGTTAACCTCACCTGTTCTGTTAATAAATTAAAAATTTCCTACAAACTGGAATAAGATGTCTCAAATCCAATGCATCATTTTCCGCCCCCTCGAACGCTTGGAATTCCCTGTGCCATAGAGTTGAGAAGGCTAGATCAATGGAAGTATTTAAAGGGGATATACCTAGTTCTAAATTCTATCAGGGAGCTGACAGCTATGCCGACCTACCACAAGAAAAGATCGAGGCCTTGTGTTGATCAACCATGATCTTGTTTGAACAGCATAGCAAGCTTGAAGGGCCAAATTGCATACAGCCTCCTCCTATTTCTTATGTTCTAATGAAGTAAAGCTTATCAATAGCAAGACCCTTTCAGCAGGTTTTGCATTTAAGATTTGAACTAACCTTTATTGATGTCATTATGCAGGAGATGGAGTTCTTCTTCAATTTCAGTCTTAATTTTCTCAGCTACATTCCTTTGCAGAGAAGGCCTTTCTTTTGATTGTATCCCTGTTAAAAAAAAGTCAATTTGTTTTAGCAAATTCATGGCATCAAATTGATCTTTGACTAGCGATCTGCTAAAACTGAATTTATTACTGTATTGATAAGAATATTGAAAGCCTAATAAAGCCATTTAAGGGTCTTAAAAAAATTGCAAAAATTCCTCCAACTTAAGTCATTGTTTTAGCATTCACATCCAGTTAGATTATGTTAAAGCTTGTAAAAACATGAATTATCTTCTATCTAGCCATAGAATTCCATTTCCAAAGCACTGCTCTTTATACTGATAGCCTGTGACAGATTGTCAGAATTCATATCAAACCATGCAGAAAGTGAAATGACAAGTTTTGCATGACTACAAAACAAAAACCCATGAAGTTTATATTCCAAAGTCTATTTTGATAGATTATCAAAGATAACAAAATGGATCCCAAAATTACTTTTACTTGTAAATGCAATTAACCTCTGGGGTTTCAAGTGCAAAAGCAAACAATTAAAATTTTGTATCCTTTAATATTCAATCACCAAAAGACAGTAAAACTTGCCAAACATATTTGAGGATATAGCATACTGATCTACTGCTCTTGTAACTATGTCATTTAGCCAACTTTTCTTAAAAAAGTGATACACAAATTTAGTCCATACAAGATGTTAAGCAATGTTTTAAATATATACCCCTTTTAAATATTACAATGCTGAAATTACCTTCCCCTGTTTGTTCTGGAGTCTTTTCTTGTGAAATCAGCCCCAAGTAATTCAAAACAACATATCTGGTCTCATAATGAAATCCTTCTGGTATGGCTGTAGCCATTTTCACGTTGTCTTGATTGTGTTCAAAAGATATAACTAGATAATGATACATACGCAGGTTAGGGTACAGGGTGGAGTTACAGAACAACAAAAACTTTTCTCATGACGTGTAAAAGCGGATGAGCAGAACCTGCAGTTCAAAAAACTGAAATTTAAGGTTTAGCCAGCACTAACAACCACATTACTCAAAGTCATTGTACTTGGCAATAAATTTAAACTGACATTTCCAAAGAAAATGTTCTGGAAAAAAAAGTAACTACCTTGAAAGCTTCAGAACGCTTTTCTATAGTTCTAAGTATACCCAAACGGTAAACGGGTTCAACATTAAAATTCGAAATCATTGGAGAATGTCCAAATAAATACTCACAACCATTTGACATGTTGCTTTAAGGGAAGCAACCGGCAGAATAGAACAAAGTCAATATGTCCTTTGTTCAACGACCCCACCAAATGCCCATGTGCACAAAGTCTGGCATCAGCTGAAAGAGGTCATTAACGACGTGATTCCTAATGCCAGTCCATCTTGCGTTATTATAAGCGGGCACAATTGTACTAAAATAATAACCCTTACATCAGTTATGAACTTGAGTCATTTGCTCAATATCATTTACATGAACTTAAGAATACACCGCGGCATCGTAAATAACACGTTAAAATTATACGTTTTAAATACTGACCCATTAGATCCCAAGTGACACCCCCAACTCAAAAATACAAGAAAATAAAATGCACAAATTCCGTAAAGAAAAAGGCACCAATCAATCTCTTCATTTCACAAATCGTTTCTCTATAAATAATATTCAACTAAATATCAACTAATTCAACCAACGCGTGCCGTTTATTCTAATCTAACCACCTTTAATTCTCCCTTAACGTTTTGTTTTCAAAACATTAACTGGTCAGACTTACCGTGCTTTGAAACGGGACAAGCCACTGCAGCTGCAACTCCAGGACAAGTTCCTTATTTAGACGCGCACCATCTTTAGGGGGCAAAGTGACGAGCAAACTCCACCCTCTCCCACAACCCGGAGGGGGGGGGGGGGGTGGGGGCAAAGTGTCAAAGGGCACAACTTTTAACATTTAAAAAAACCGCCAGGACTCGAAGGGCTCCGCCCCCGGTATCCTGCCTTCGAAAAATTCTCATTAAAAAAGTAGCTGATTCGCCAACTGAGAAGAGAAAACATAAAAATCCAACTTAGCCTCCCCGAGCCGCAGCTGACGGAAGCCACGGGGTCAAAGGTCAAATATAATAAAGCCGCGGTTGAAACGCGATGTTTCAAGTACTGCGACTCGAATGATCGTCTATACAAACAAGTAAAGAATGTTTTCGATGGGTAAACGTGCGTTTTTAAAAATCTTTGTTGATAAAATATCCGTTTGTGGTCCTGAACTCCCAGCATGCTATGAGTCCTGGATGTCATTACGCGGAGATGGTTTCTCAATTGGGTCAGTGATTTAACAGACAACACATAAAGGGAGCCCAGCCGTGCGCCTGCGCATTGACAGAATCAAGCAGACACTCAGTAGACTGCGCGGTGTGACGATCTGTCGTGGACAGGGGTGGGGCGGGAGAGGGCACGTGACTGTATATGGGCGGGTCACCTCCTGGCCCTGCCCCCTTCGCTGCGTCAGGTGACTGTGTACAGCTACACGGGTTTGCTGTTGACGGTTACTACCCAGCTATCAGCTGAGTTTTCATCCTTTTGCAGTGAAGTGTCCTTTCATCCCTCTAACAGGCCGATCGTTAGAGGACTCTCCCCGACAAGCTTCGAGGAGTCCGAACACCTACTACGATTTTCGGCTTCCCTGCCCTCTGTAGAGTTTGATTTTTGTGGTTTCTCCCTCGGAAACAGACAAACCTCCGACGACAATGGCGCTGAGCGATGCCGATGTGCAGAAACAGGTAAGCAAGGGTCTTGGTGACATCCTGTTGGCCGGAGCTGCGGAAAAAGATGAAGGAAAAAGGAAGGGGAATTATTAAATTAACACACTACTGCGTTTTGAGTGTTAATCCCTTTCCAAAATTGCATTGGATTTGCGGGAAAAAGAAGGCTAGCGTCTCTAAATAAGAAAGCGGCGAATGGAATGCCATAATCTCAAATCGTTTCGCAGCTTGTATCCACCAATGGCTGGTTTTTAACCTGCAGAATGGTGAAGTTAAAGGGAGTTAGAGACCCTTTTCATATAAATCTGGTTCGTATGTAAGACTTAAAAATTATGAATTATCCTTTTTTTGGCCTGTGATGGAAATGGACTTCCACTTTCTGCATGCACAGTATTACGCAATTTCAGAAATTTTGTTAACATTTCATATCAGTTTGTCTGGTAACAATGATTATGGGATGCGAGTACCAATAAATCAAACAAAAAATGTTAAAATAGTTATTCTTTCGATGCTGCTAAATTCACAACACTTCCTATTATTATTTAAAATGTCAACGTAATTCAACCTGAAGCCTTCTGTATTTATGAATAAAGTTAAAACATTGTATGTCTACTTGCAGGATTTCACTGCCCCTTGTTTGTAGTCTATTTTTAAATTGTATAATTCAGTGCACAAAATGGTGATTTAAGTATGATTTGTTGAGCCAAAGCCTAAATGTGTTTGCATTAAATTGTGTTAAATGGCTGTTATTTTTTAACTTGAGTGAATGTTTAACCTTGTTGAATACCATTGTTCATTTTCTTTCAGTTTGGCTAATTTAAGCCTTTAGAATGGGAAAATCTAAATTATTTTGAACTAGACATATTAACGTTTAAAGTTTTTTTTTGCATATATTCACACTTTTCTTTGACTAGACCTAGTTTCCCTGGTTCTATTTTGACTTTAGCCAGATCCTAGTTGTCAGTAAGCAGAATTGTACTTTTTGTTGTTGAAATCTAGTTTCAGCTGGACCACCTGGTTGGAAGGAGTTGTGATCTTGTTCATTCTAGTGTGGGAGGTAGTGCTACTTGTGCTAGGTTCCTGCAAATGTGTACTTTTTCTAAGTTGAGTCTCCAGTTCCAGGCAAGGAGGATGAATTTACTTTCGTCATACTTCCAGTGCATTCCAGCCCTCTATAACTTGTGTTTAATAACAAAAATATGGCATTTGCCTGTACACTTTGATTACTGATTTCTTCTGCCACTAGGAACATGTTCTTTTTAACTGCCTTTACAAGTAATATGAGACAATACAGCTCAGATGAGTTGTTAATTGTGTAGTAATGTATTATTTCAAATGCTAGATTTAAATTTGAAAACTGAAATATTGGTTATTTCAAATCTATTAACAGCAAAAACTCCAAACTTTGCAAATTTTTGTTTGCTGTTAAGTATTGTCAATACAAAAATGCAACAAAAGTTCCAAGTATAATGAGGCTGTTTTCACTATCAAGAAATGTGGAACAAAGGTGGGCAAGTATTGTTTGGGTACAAATTGGCCTTAATACAATTAGAACATAACTTGGGGATAAATAGGCAATTCCTATATGCACCCTAATTTCTGCCAGTAACAGACTTTGTATTTAAATCCACTGTTGAATCTGTTTATTGCAACTCATCATATTATTTACATACTAATTTGTTTCTCTGGTCAGAACTACTTTCTTCTTGTAATCTGGTTCCATCAGTGCCACTTATCTTCCAGCGGTCACTTCTGTGTACTTGTATGTGTGAGCTGTGATCAGTGTTAATAGGCTATCTGGTCTTGGGAGACATCACTACTAAGCCTGTCCCTTTCCTTGCCCAATGTTACCTTGTGCACATCCAGAAGGCTTAGCTTTATCTTTGTTCCGTATGGTCTAGTTTCTTGCAGGATGAACTTATTGATCTGCGATGGTAGACATTCTATCTTTTTAAGTGGCAAGCATGCTGTCAACATAATGATTCTGATGAGGCCTATACAAGGAAACATGTTTTTGATACTTTTGCTGTTCACAGTAGACATATGGTTAAATATGGGCTTAATGGGTTATATCATTATTCTTTAGAAGCATTTCCTTGGGTTCCATGCAGTTTGATTTGGCTTTTTGATATATTGGTTAATGATTGAGAGATGCCTTTTGATCCTACTGTACTAGCTGCTGTACATTTGAGCTAATGCTGCTTGGAAATTATTGACATGCTGATAGTCAAATGTAACTAAAATAGTTTTTAATTCATTTTTGTACTATCCCACAAATGAATTTGTGGCTGAATCTTGACTGAATTAGTTGATCTGAAAGCTGTGCTGGTGCAGAGATGGTCAGAGGTACATTGATCATGGATAACCATGTAAGAAGTAAAGGCTTTTTGATAAACTAGAATATTTATAGTAGAGGATTAGCATGAGGATATCAATGTTATTTTGGACATTTTAGAAAATTAATATATTCTCAATTACAAATATACTCTCTTCTGATTAACTTTTTATGTATTATAAAATTCATTGAACATGCAAGAGGTCCCTGGTTTGATACCAGGCAAAACATTAATGTTAGTACACTTGTCTGTTCATTATTATTCTTCACATAAAAATCCACCTGATAATGCACAGTATATTTTAGTGAACTAGAGCTTATAGTGGATGGGGAGCGATCTGAATAAAAGGAGTGCTAACTGGTGCTGAACCAAGGAACACATCTAGCATAAAAACTCGATGATATGACTCTGGAAATGACTATGCAACTGATTTCTCTCTCTTTATTCTACAGATCAAACACATGATGGCCTTCATTGAGCAAGAGGCCAATGAGAAAGCAGAAGAAATAGATGCAAAGGTGGTTTTTTTAATGTTGTAATTTTTTATATTTCTAGTTTGCAAATGTTTGTGTACAACGTCAGTCTGTCAGATCTATAATCCTGCATTACTTACTTTTTACCACAGCAGTGTTGGTGCAAATTAGATGTTGACAAATTCTATTTATCATATAGATTCCAAACAGCGTCAAAGTAGGCCATTTGGCTCATTGAGTCCACACCACCCCTCTGAAGAGCATCTCACCCAAACCCCACATTTCCCATGGCTAATCTACCTAAGCTACACATCCTTGGATACTATGGACAATTTAGCATGGCCAATCCACTTAACCCACACCTCTTTGAACTGTGGGAGGAAACCCACGCAGACACGGGCAGAACGTGCAAACTCCCCACAGACAGCCACCCAAGGCTGGATTCAAACCTGGGTCCCTGGTGCTGTGAGGCAGTAGTGCTAACCACTGAGCTGCTGTGCCATTCTCCACCATGCCTCATCTGTGTTCAACACCTGATTCGTTCGCCAAAGAATGAGAACTGAAACAGAAAAAGCTTCATGCAGCATAACTATAAGATGGCCCAAATAAGGAACTTAAATTAGAGATGTTCGTTCAGATCTACACAAAATGGAAGACATGCAATGTCAGTCTTCAGTTGCTGCTTTGTATTGCACGACTAAGCAACTGGTCATCACGTAGCAATAAATTATACAATACTCTACAATTGTTTTGCATTTGAACGGGTAAGGTGAAAGTTAGACCTAAAAAAACTAGCATGAATTCACATAGTTCTAGAAAATCTCACTTTGCTCTAGTTAAAAATTTACTATGAAGTTAGATGGTTATAAAATTAAGCTGGTTCACTCATACCTTTTTAGAGTTCAAGCCTTCAGTTCTTGGCTTATTTGCCTTCCTTTAACTGCAGTCCTGCACCAGCATGGTTTTCTCTTAATGACCCTCTAAAGTCACTCAGCAAGCTATTTCGGTTCAATAGCCCTAAACACCACCTTAATATAGGTTAACTTAGGGAGCGTGCAATAAATGCTGGCATTGCTGCTAGCTGTAATGTTCAGTGAATGATGTATATTATGACAGAGGTCAGTTTGCTAGTTGGCTCGATGGCTGAATTGCAGTGAAGTGGTGTCAGCTGTGTGGGTTCAATTCCCATACTGGCTGAGATTGCCATGAAGAACTCTCCTTCACAGCCTGTCCCCTCGCGTAGCCCTTGGGTTAAACCACCATGAGTCGTCTACTCTAAGAGCAGCCCTATAGTCTAATAGGACTATGGTGACTTTGCATTTTGATGTTAACAACACAAATACTCAGTATGTGTAGGTAGTTAAAAAAAAATGTAATGTAAAATATAATGTCTGAATTTTACAGCATAATTTACATTGTGACTGGCCAAAATCTGTGCTGACTACCAAAGCAAATGCCCTTGTCAAAGTTACAAGGGTTTTTCTTTCAAGAGCAGAAATAAATCAGATAGATCCACAATTCATGGCAATTCCTAATTTGAAGAAACAGAAGTGATTAGACTTCTGATATGTTGTCTGTTTGTGTCTACAGAGGAGTTCCAACAGGAATATGGAATGTAGCCAGAATATGCAATCCTCATTTGCTGGGATCTTTTAGAACATTTCTGCTGAGATTAATCAATTTCTACAGTTCTGTATACAATTCCTGCTGGTGTGGTTCTGCACCATGTTATTGTGGTGCACTTATCAATTAAGCTTCCAGAGGTCTTGGACTGCAACTTTACATTTCTTCCACTTAATGTACTGACAGCTTCATTTTACTTGGGTTATGTCTATATAGTAAGGTGGAAATCATTTAAACTCCTGTTTAGTTAAGTAACGTTTTCTGACCTGTGAAGAGGTTACTGCAGTGGGTTCTTTGTAGAGAACTTACTATGCAAATACTGACACTTTTTTTTTAAACGTGCAGTCTTGTGTAGCGTAGTTTGATATACACAGAGCAAACTCTGACAGCTTGTTTGTGAATCTATAAAATCAATCCTGTTTTCTTTTGTACATTTGATGCTGGAGTCATGTTGAAAGTCAATGCATTTGTTTACAGGCAGAAGAGGAGTTTAACATTGAAAAGGGCCGTCTTGTACAGACGCAAAGATTAAAGATTATGGAATATTATGAAAAGAAGGAAAAACAAATTGAGCAGCAGAAGAAAATGTAAGTACCATGTAAATTCAAATTTCAAATGTCAATATTTCACTTTCAAATTTTACTTGAAATGCTTGATTTATAACAAGATTTATTCTGGTTAGATAAATGTAGCAATTGTCACCTAATTTTAGTGTGAAATTTTAAAATAAAACCACTTTTATTTGGTTTCTGAAGATGTTCATTTGTCTACAAACTGAATATTCCACTATTTGCAGCTTGCTTAGGCTCTCAGTGTTGGGCATGCTGAAACCTTTCTTCACTTGAATTGACTATTTTTTTGTTTTGTAATTGTTTACTTTCAGTCAAATGTCTAACATGCTGAACCAGGCTAGATTGAAGGTCCTGAAAGCCAGAGATGATCTCATTTCGGTGAGTTTGCTAATATTTTGAATGAATTAAAATACTGTGTATTGGCAGCTTAGATTCTGGAAAAAGCATGTTTGCAATTTTTCCTGTCTATAAGGTTTGAATATATGTCAAACCATTACTAAGTTAGTTCATCTCAGTAATGCTGTAATAATTGACTGATAATCATAAAGCATCAGTGTGACTTGGTTACGTCTTTTCTTTATTAGCTGATGCTTGGTTTTCATACAGATTAACCTGCAATTACCTCTTGCCAAAATTACACTCTTGGTGTATCTCCGGAAGAACTATCCATTGAGAGGGAAGCTGTTGTTTAGTCACATTTTGTGCTACCTAAATACACATTACAGACAGTGGGAATTTGCCTTTCTTCGCACAGCCGTACTCCATGACACAAGAAAAAAATTACTTGCAGCAGTATTTGTTTTTAACCCAACCACAGTTT